CTCCATACAAAATTTCATCGACTTCAAGCTCTGCTTACGACTTTTTTTACTCAACCTAGAACTCGTGTTTTAGACCTCAAAATTGATGTGAAATTAAAAGTGATGTATAAATGAAAGTTGCTACAGGCTGAGATGCATCTAACGTGATACTAGTCAGTGCCTGTTGACTGGCAATATCTATGACAGATCTGTCACCTGTAACTGTGACAGGCAAGCTGTATCGCAACTCTGCTATTGGTCAATAAAAGTTGTAATCTAGTTGTCAAAAATTGCTCTGTTCTAGCTCTTACAAGTTCAAAACGCCTCCAAAATTCTTGAAAGTTTCAAAAAAAATCCCCAAATTGACTATAAACTCACTCCCATCCTTAATATTGTAACCAAAAATTCACCCAAAAAGTATTAACGAAAAAAAAATGTTCCAACAATAAATTCTCATTCACGGAAAGGTTAAGCACTTTCCAATGATTATAGGTGGACTATAACCATAATTTTTTTCGATCATGTAAGGATTATCTTTATCCTAACAACGAGGCTATTTATAGCAAATAGTTGCAATAAAACCACAAAATCTCTCCCCTTAAAAAATGCCCATGAAAATTTAAAAGTTAAAATCATGCCAACCTACATAATACATGCAAGAGAGAAAGAAAGAACAGAAATATTTAAATTGATGTTGGATTAAAGGGATTTGAGCTTTAAATTTGCCAGAAATACAAAATAGAAGCAAATTCATGCTTATCATATTAAAGCCGTACATAAGAAGACGAGAGAGTAAAATCTGATTTCAATGTTCTATTTTTCAACTCACAAAAATGTGTGTATATGTTCATACAATATAATAATATACATAAAGTAAAGTCAGTTAGAATGAAAAATAAACCACATACATACACAGACATCAGCTACAGGGATGGGTCGTTATCAATGCTACTGATGTGCGTACAATCTACCTTCTCTCTCCATTTTTGTCTCTCCTTTCCTTCTGGCTGAATCTGCAACCGAATTATATTTAAAATTCAAAGAGTGTTTCATGCTTCTCGTTCTCTTTACGAATACGTATAAAGTAACCTTTTTTTTAACCATTTGAGATTACTTCCAATTCATACTTTCTAGGTTGCCTCAATTATACCACGCACATAAAGCAGAGATGATGGTTTTTAAAGGGAATAAAGGAGACGAATACTGAAAGATTTTTTAATGGGAGAACAGCTGAATGTGAATTTGTTGAGTGCTTCAATGTTAATTTTGATTGGGTTCATTACACGCTTGATGGGGTTTTAAAGACATTTTTTTTAGATTTTCTAAGGTTTGGAAACTGTCCTTTTACTTACTTACTTACTTCGCTGGTCGTACAGATCAATAGTAATTCATGACCTCCCTTAGTTGACGCCTATAACTAGCTCTATCGCTGGCTACCGTCTGGCAATTTCAAATACCAATTGCTATACTGTCTCTATCAACAGCTTCCTTCCACGAGTTTTTTTGTCACCCACGTGATCTCTTGCCATCTACAAAGTCAGATTTAAAGACCTTATTTACAGGTCTCCTTATAATATGTCCAGCCCATCGGAGCCTATCTTCTTTAATCCTTTTCAATGTCCTAATGTATTGGACTTATAATTTTAGGTTTTGATGGGATGTCTCAATTTTAATGCATACATGCTCAGGGATTATTTTTTTTATTTTTGGGAAATTTAGAAAAGTGTCCACCCCTTGGATTATTTTTTTGAATTTGACGAATATTTTGAGTAGAACCCTTGAGTATTCGATAAACATTTCTAATTTCAATATTTAAAAGGATTATAAATCTACTTAATTTTCTGCAACTGTGAGTTTTCATTCATTTCGCTCATTCACAGAATTTTTCAACCTTTTCGTTTTAATTTCTTTCTTCTTTTCCCTTTTGATACTTCAATGTTACTCTTGTGAAGGCTGTCCAATTGTGGAACATTGAGCGGGACAATGTTGCTTTTTTTGAATAAATATCCAGCTAAAATCCTTAATGTCCCGCTTTTTTGAGCCTATTTTTCTTGGAAAATTCTTGAAAATTTGGTGTGTACCGCTTTTTCAGAGCTGAAATCGGCAAAAAACTGATGGACAACCTATTCGTTTGCCTCATTTTCTCTTTCAAATGTGTATACTCATCGATAAATATAGATTTTTTTCAGGCTTTTGTTTGGCTATTTACGTAGTATTTTTTGCTATTTTTACAATGTGCGTGGGGGTAATGTTTACATAGAAATTCTATAGTGAAAAATCAATTTTTTCGGTATAGTTCATTAAAGGTGTTAGGCTGATGATTTGAGATTGAATTGTCTACATTTCAATTTACTGAAACTAAACATCATGTTTGATTAAAATAACGCAGTCTGTCTGCTGCATTTATCAGCATCATTCTGACAATATTGTACATCAAATGATAAGCTGGTCTTGAACATTAAATACATGCATCTCTCATTTTACTCGTTTTTGTTATAAATCGAAATAAAAAATAAAAAAAAATGTTTCAATGTTGTTGCAATTGTTAGAATAGAAAGAAGCATTTTATTTTTATACATATTTTTTGAATTGACGTTTGTTTTTATATAACAATTTAGTTTATGTATTTTTACATTGTGATTGTGATGTGGAAAGCTGCAGATGAAGTTTATGGATCTAAAAAAAATTATTTTGTTTTCTTTCATTGAATGATTTTGTTATTTTGTTTCTGTGGATATTCATTGTTGTTCGTTTATTTCGTATAAATATGAAATATGAAGCGTTATCAGCATGAGAACATAAAAAGCTTTTAAGTGCCACAATATTTTTTTTTATTCATTTTCATTTCAATTGTGCAGTTTATGATCGGTTGTCGAGAAAGTTTTGAATTATTTACTGAAAATGCAGCAAGTTCTTTTTTTGATAGTTTTGGAATTTGCAAGCTAGCTTACTAGATGTAGACTGTCCATCGGTTTTTGCCGATTTTTGGTCAAAAGCAGGACATGTTCTGATTTCAGCTCTGAAAAGCGGGACAGTCCAAATTTTTAAGCATTTTCCAAGAACATTAAGGATTTTAAGCCGGACTTTTTTCTTAAAAACGGGATTGTCCTGCTCAAAGATGAGCAATTAGACAGCCTTTACAGATAGCAAATCCAAAGATAGTCGATTGTCTTTCCTCACAATTTCTCACCCCCCCCCCCCCCCCAGAGAGGGGGAGAGGGAGCTACACCCCTATAAAAGCAATTTATAATTCAATTATAATGCTAATAAAACTATGAGCTAGCTTAAATGGAACATAAAACTGCTGTCCGGTAATCTAATAATAGGTACACGGTTATGACAAAGTATTTAAATACAAAAATGCTAAATTGTAGTTCGGCGATTGAAATGAAAATGGCACATGAAAGAATTCTCATGTAAATAATTTACAAACTTGAGTTTTTAAACTGGTACGTAATCCTAGCTTTTAGTATTCCTAACTATCAGGTGATGTTGAGGATTTCGTGCAGTTTAATGACTGTTGTCAGTTTGTAAATTAAAAAAATATTATAAAGGAATTTTGAATCGTTTAAAGCAGTGTTGTTCAAAGTTTTTGAGCCACAACACACTTTAGGGGTAAGCCATGACCAAAGCCGCACAGAACATGCGGCTTGCGTCATTACCAAAAATTTTCTATGTCACACAGTTTGGACAACGCTGATTAAAATTAAATACTTCAAAACTTTGAGTCCGAAAGATCTTTGATAGCACAGAATAAATAGCTTTAAAATGCTGATAACGCTCAACAACAAACCAGTTCTGTAATTTAGTCCCCAAAATTGTCTGCCTATTTACAAGAATCGTTTTTTTGTCTTTAATAATCCATTATTGATTGTATTTAAATATGATGAAATCTAGTTTCACTTTAACTCGAATGGCACAAAGGCAAATAGCTCAACATAGCTCAAAAGTGGTACAAGCCTTGTTGTGCCATTCGGGATAACTTTATAGACTTAAAATTAATTGAAATTTATGGAAATTGATAAGCTAGTGTCTTTTCCAAATGGTGAAAAGTGGATTATTATTATAATTTATTAGAACCCCTTTTATTACCTCAATTATTCCTTTCATAACTTTTAATTAAACTCACTCGACTCACTTGGCTAATGAGTGAAATTAAAGAATTTTTGTGACAGAAAAAAAATATATTTTTATCAAATTAGTCTTTCAAAAACTAAGAATCCATAAAATGTCTTTTGTGAATATTAAATTCTTTCATGCTTCAAAAAAGAGAAGTTCTCTTTTATATCAGTTTCCAAAAATTTCATCAAAAAAATTCCATTTAATTTTAAAGAAAGTAAAGCAAAATTCTAATTATTGTGTTTTTTTCTTTTTTCTTTTTCTTTTTTATGTGTAATTGGCAACAAAATAAAACATTTTTGTTCATAAACCGCACCAAAAAAAATTATTTAAATAAAATTCATCGATAAAAAAAATTTATCCCGTAATCCTCATCATTATCAACCACCACCAAATATATGCCTCTGTCTATTTTTTTCTTATGTGCCTTGTGTATATTTTATGTATTTGCCTTTGCCTCCATCTCCATTTGGGGTGAAAAAAAAACGTGTTTTTTTATTAAATTCCCATGATCTCATGTTGTTGATGAATAAAACATATCATTTTCATATTCCATTTCCATTCCCTTTAATCTCTCTCAATTTATTTATTTTCCTCTTATCCACACATCCACAAACCATACACATATATCATAAACACTTCAAATCGTATAATTTCTCATTTCCCCAAAAAAATAATAATAACATATTACATTATTTATGATTATCTTCGTTTAATGTCTCTGCCATCAATCTACTTCAAACATTTACAAAAACAACATGAAAAATTCCTGCTTTTTCCGATAAATTTTTGCCCCTTGCCTTTGCTTTATTCAATTGTAAATGAACATGACATCATCATCAAATTAAAATCCATACTTGATATCCAAATTTTACGACGTATAAATGAAATTCCCTCAAAAAAAAATAATTAGACCGAAAACTTTTTGTTGGTATGCTTAGTAAGCAACAAAATGAAGAGGATGTGAGACAACTGTTCAACAGATTTGGAACAATTGAAGAGTGTACTATTTTACGAGGACCTGACGGCGCAAGTAAAGGTAAGATTTTTAATATTATTTTATTTTTGCACACACACTTGTAAAGTGATATTTTTAGTGAAAGTGAATGAGTTTTTTTTCTTTTTATCTAGAGTTTGAAATTTGCATGCAATCAATTTAAAAGTTATTTTTATTACAACAATAGCAACAAATAAGAAAGTATCTTTTGAAACCTTTTTTATTGTAAAATCATTTTTCCATATCTAACATTTATCGATAACAAGTCAGCTTCTTCATTCTGAGATTCTTTCAATTATTGAAATTAAATTTTTAAAGTAAAATAGGGTAAGAAGTAAATGCTTAAAAGGGTTTAATGGGTGATAATGGAATATTATAACTTGGTTTGCTGATATAGAGACCGGGATCAAGACTAATGGGATTTCAAGTTTAAGTGTCGATTCTTGGTTCTAGTTCTTGGTTCTAGTTCTTGGTTCTTGGTTTTAGGTTTTTGGTTTTTGGTTCTTGGTTCTTGGTTTTTAATTCTTGGTTCATGGTTCTTGGTTCTTGGATCTTGGTTTTTGGTTCTTGGTTCTTGGTTCTTGGTTTTTGGTTTTTGGTTCTTGGTTCTTGGTTTTTGGTTCTTGGTTCTTGGTTTTTAATTCTTGGTTTTTGGTTCTTGGTTCTTGGTTCTTGGTTCTTGGTTCTTGGTTCTTGGTTCTTGGTTCTTGGTTCTTGGTTCTTGGTTCTTGGTTCTTGATTCTCGGTATTAGGTCTTAGTCTGGATAATCTTTGGAGAACGTATTTTTATAATTTACCTAAACTTCATAAACCTTCACAAATCTTATTCATGAACACAAAACAATCAATTTCGAACAATTCCAAATAAATCTCAATGATCATCGTTGACTTTATTTCATTAATCTGCTAGTAAAACCTACCACAAGTTTCCATTCAACCTTCCAAACTATACAATCAAGTCATCTTCAATCAAAAAGTTCTTCATCATCTTACAAACAAAACTTAACAACTGCAATAAAAGCTGTGGCACAAAAATCAATGAAATACAGCTTTAGAATCAAATTCGATACCTCAAAGTATTAAACCAAATGAAAATGTTCTTCATCCGCCCAACAAATCAAAGCGAATTCTGATTTATTTGATAAAATCTCAAAAAGAAAACAACTTTGTAAAGAAAACTACATTTCATGTAACAATATTACATAGCCGAAAAATGTAATCTTCCTAACAAGAATGAAGAAAAGAGAGAACAAAAAATCTGAATCAGCAATAAAAACAAAAAGAAAAGTAGAAAACTTTAGTAAATCTTTAAAAAGAAAAAGGAGAGATAAATTCATTTTATTTTATGCATAAATAGAGAACATGGTAAAGAAGAAAGTCTGTAATCAATGGGTTTTCGACCGACCAATATAATGCAATAAAATCTCATTTCGCTCAACTTTTTTTTCTGCAAAAAGCAAAGAAATAATTTTTTGAAGAATGAGGATTGAAGAGATTGTGAGAGAATCAGATGGGAAAATTCAGGAATTAAGCGCAGTTTTTGTGAGGTTTTGTTGGAGTCGTTCATTTTTGTTGGAGCTCTGGAACTTAAAATTACATTTTCGATTCAGATTAAATAGCGTTGATTGATGGCTTAGAACCTGATTCATCTGATTAGCTTTATATCAGCCGTACGCAGTTTAACAATTGGACGAATCTCTCAACATTTCCTAATTGTCTGCAAACAGCAAAGAGAACTCAAAATTCCAAACAAAACAACAGACAAAGCAGCAATTTTGCGTCATTTCCCATCATTTTGAGCTCCCCAAAAATCAAAGGAATGGACGAACGAGAAAGGAAACTAATAAAAAAGGTTTTTTCTTTCTTTCTTCTTCATCATCTCCTCCTTGTTACTTTTAACAAAGAAACAACAAAGTTTTCTTTATCTATTTTGGCTTTTATGGATTTTTTTCTCTTCTTTCCTTCATTCCTTTTATAACCATCATCACCACCATCATCATCATCATAGTTCATTGGTTACGTTCTTCTGTTTTATGTTTTTCGGGATGGATAAATCGACACATTTATACTTACATTGATTCCCGTAAATTTTTTCTTGATTATTGAGGACGGTTGAATGTGAAAATAACATGAATAAGATGAAGAAAAAGGTACACTTTATACCCCTTTTTTATGAGCTTTTATGTTCAGTTTACTTTTCGGAATGTTTTTTTCAATTCAATAAATTGAGAATCTCGAACTCTCTCACCTTGGTACTTTCTCAAATTTAATTTACGAAATTGTGTAATAACTTAGAGCAAAAGAAAGGTAAAAGATTGAGTATTTTTTTCGAAAAACAAACTAAAAAGGGACAAATTGATGAGATTCATTTGAATGTTGATTGAAAATTCAATTATCTTATTTGGTTCGTTTCTCTTTGGAACTTCATTCATCATTGCTTTAGATGAATTTGGTCAAATTGAGTTGATTTTTGGGGAAAAAAGTTTAATGCAATGTTTGTTTTTGTTTGGCTAAAGTATGGAAAACTAGAAACTTTAGTTCTCACTTAATTATAGCACGTTGTCTCGTGCATGGATGTATCTAGGGGCTAAGCTTCAATTTTCTGAGGTTCCTAGCTTTTCTTAGCATTATTTAGCCTCAAATAATGGTTAGCAAAGCTGAAAACCTCAGCAAATTGAAGCTTAGCCTCAAATAATGCTAGGAAAAGCTGGGAACCTCAGCAAATTGAAGCTTAACCACAAATAATGCTAAGCAAAGCTAAAAACCTCAGCAAATTGAAGCTTAACCTCAAATAATGCTAAGCAAAGCTAGAAACCTCAGAAAATTGAAGCTAAGCCCCCTGTTACATAAATGCACAGGACGTAGCTTGCATGTTGGTCAAGGATTGCTCAGCATTCAATCTCTAAGATAACAAAAAATCATCACTTTCCTCCAACGTGCCCACACCTTTTTTCTCCCAAAAGAAAATGCTCATTAAATAAGACATTATCTAGATCAAGTCTCCAGAGACAAACTTAAAACAGAACACGAAAAAATCATCATTCAATCTCATCATTATGCTCACTTTAATTAAGAAAAGTCTCATTTCATTGAGAAGAAACAAGAATTAACTCAACAAAAGAAAAAAAGTTTTTTTTGTGCTTGTTACAAAATTAAATCATTTTCGTTGTCCCTTGGCTGAATTTCTTTTCTTCCATGTCTTTAAAACAAAACGGAAAGAAAGTTCGAAGAAGACATCATAATAATAATCTACTTTATCTTTAATCACATTTCGCAACCGAAAGCATCGTGCCCGTTACTGTGTGTGGATATAAAATTATAAAAAAAAATTGTGAAAGAAATAGAATTAATGCCCAGTCATGCGTCGAATATGTAATGCCCAATTATTGATAGCAATTAAGTTATAGAGAGGCATTAAAGGAATGACGAAGAATGAGGCAACAAAAAAAAAAGTCGTGATCGAGAAAATTTATTCAAATTATAATTTTATTTCACGGGAAAATCACTGAAAGCCATTTTTGTCTTCATTTTCTCGCCATTCTCTTGACACAAATTGAATTATCCTCATTTTTTCCCTTCTTTTGCTTTTTACAATGTCTCATCATCATCGCTCTTCCTCCATTCTATTCTCCATCCATTCATAAGGATTATATTTTTTTTTTTTTTGTAAAAAATTGTATCTGATCTGCCTTTTGTGTATCGCATGAAGTAATGACAACGGAAAATGGAAAGATGATGATGATGCTCTCTAACTTCTACGACTTTGCTTTTTGGGTGACTTTAAATAAACTGTTGAAGATTATGTTCATTTTGGGTTTATTTACATATCGGAAGTGTAAATGAATAGTTTTGTTGGGGACATGACCCAATTTCTTGAATGATGACTTCAAAAGAATTAAATTAAGCTATTTGAACGTAACAGGGCTATAGTGAGGGATTCGAACCACTCTTTTGATGATATTTCTGTCTAAAGGTAACAAAGCATGGCCGTGAGCTTCTTTTTCTGGGATGTTTGACTCAAAAAAGGTCAAGCCAAAAAGGTTTCATATAAATTAAGGTATCACACATGAAGTGCCGAAGCAGGATAACTCATTTCGAATGTCCAATGTTGAGTCTTAGACTTTAATGCTTAGGAAAGTTGATATTGAATATTTAACAGAAAAAGTAAATTTCCCAACAACTTGTGCCGAGCGGGAATCGAACCCACGTCCTTACAATTTACGGTACGTATACTCTAGTCATTGAGCTACCGGGCGTTGCTTAGAAGCTTGACAGAATGCCAACATAAACCTTTTTCTGCACTTAACTTATCATTGATGCTTCTTTACTGAGAAACTTCCAATAGCCATTAAGTTTCTAGGTCACAAAACGCGTCACATCCTTACAATTCCTCTTAACTTTCCAACTTACATTCCTTTCCTTGTTCAGTTTTGTTCAAGAAAAACATTTTTAATATGATTATGTAAATACATTTAACATAATCTTAAATTTAATATCTTTCTTGTCGTCGTTCTTTAAGGGAGCCTCCATCCCTATGAAGACATTCAGTCACAGTATTTTGTGCTGATTTTTCTTGTTGTTACTTCTGCTATTATTTATATTGAAAATCACAATAAAGTTTAAAATTGCCATTAGATTACATTATTGTCGCTGTTGAAGATTAAAAATTACAAGAGAGATGAAAAATTTATTTAAATATACGCATGCATAGCTTCTTTCTTGAGGCATACGATGATTTCGATTTTTTTTTGAATTTAATTTCACGTCATTATATCTTTTTTCATATTGATATTTTCATCTTATGAGGAAATTCTGTCAATACAAGGAAGGCAAAAATTAAGCAAATGCGATGAAAATTTTCACCGTAAATAAAATTAGAATTTCGATCTATTTACCTTAAAGGTAGTCAAAGTTTCACTTACTGAAGAGCTCTTCACTTCTGTTAAGTATTGCTGTGCCATTAGGATCCATTCTTACAAGAAGCATTAGTTTCAAGTAGCACACTTTTTCCATAAATAGCCCATTAATTATAATTAGAGAAA